CTATCCCCCCCCCCCGCCATTCACCGCAATGCTCTGTTGGCCATAACCTCCCTCCGAATCGACGTTTCGCCAAAACCTGCTAAACGCATAATGTTACTTTGATTGTGCGGGAGGCCTTTTTTCTTTTTCCGCGCTTCTTGGGTCGGGCGGCCCTTTAAAGCCATCATCAGCAGGGCCTACTGAGCCAGCGGACCGCCCTCGCGAGAAATTAATTTTTGCCATGAAATAGAACAGGGAGGGGGGAACGCAGACCCACATCTATCCCCAATCCAAGTCCCCCGATTGCATTTTTCATCAAACGTGTTGACTTAATAGATTTGCGACGGCTGCTGGGGACGAGCCAGTCTAACGCCGCGGCTGGAAGCTGCCTGCGGAGATTGCGGAGATTATGGAGCCCGTCTCGTCGGAGTCCTCGTCGGCGGAATCTTCGGCCGCGAAGTTGTCCGCGGCCTGAACAACCGCCCTCCGCGCAGTCTGCCGAGTAATCCGTATGTTATGTATGGCATTCACAACAAGGAGGGGAGGGAGGGGGGAAGGGACGCTCAGCACATGAATACAACCTCACGGAGGTAACAGGGGGGTAACAGGGGCATTAGTGTCGGAGGTGAGGGAGGCTGGGCCGTACTTTTCCGGGTGTTCTGTCTTGGTTTTTGGGGTTCACGGCAGAGGCTTCGTAAGATGCTGCGGTCAAGAGCAAGCACAAAAAGCAAACACTGAAAAGGTTCACCCGCAAGCACTGGAGGGCATTGTCTGGCGAGGACATATTCCCGACGGAATGCTCCCCATCCACCCAACACTTCCGCCACAAAGGGTTCATGTTAAATTCGCACGGAGACGGAACACAACAGAAAAAAAAAATCTATTGAAACTGACGTATTTCCGTGGTTAGCCGGTTTGCCCGGTCGAGATGCTAACAATAACAACACACGTGCACCAAACTTGCCATCGGAAACCTTGCACAGCAGTGTGCGGCTGCACTTGTGTAAGCGCTGCATTTTTCTTGCACCATCGAGTCATTACCTGTACCCTTGGAGGCTGTTGTCCCGAGACCGAGAGGGGGGCCACCTCGAACTTTTTGATCCCTCGTTCGGCCGCACCCTGGCAACGTCATGTTCGTTCCCGCCGGAAAAAAACGCCCCATGGCAACAAAACGAGGAGACGCCGGTAGTTGGATAGGGGGCGGGGTAAGTAAAGGAAGAGGAGATTTGCGTGTTGCTATTTTGTCTTCGTGCGTGATATCAAAACTTCACGGACTTACTGCAGAACAATACATGCATACTTGCTCGAGGTTACGAAGGGAGTTCGCATGGTCGCAGGTGGCCTACTAAAGCGGAACCGCTGCCCTTTCGGAGACGGCCAGTACGCCACCGGCCTCATCGCCGCGGCAATGTGGGATGCTTGCTGCTGCACGTCTCTGCTGATGGCATATGCCTCCCGGCGACTACCTCCAAGAGATGACGCAAGGGAAAAATTCAACACACGGATTTCGATTGGGCTAAATATCTCTCGAACGGGTAGTCTTTCTGGGACCGCATGAACACCTTCTGAAAACAGAAAAGGGAGACAGCTTTTTGGTGTTAGAATAGAATTCTCGCCGAGGGCAAAAGGCTGATCTGCCTGGCAGAAAAACAAGTCATAAAAGTTCCGCCGAGCAAACCCCAACACCTGACCACGCTCACCCAAGCTTGTATCCCGGCGCATGCAAGCAACAGCACACCCCACGTACCTGCAACGCTAGCACGTCTTCAGCGTACGGAAGGGGGACTTCGGTCTCCGGGGAAACAATCCCTGTCGTACCCCTGCCCCCTGCGGTGGAGCCAGCCCCCGCCATGCCGCTAGTATTATGGTAGTTGCTGCCCCCATAGGCCGTGTTGGACCGCGGAGAGGCGCCGCGCAGACCCGTCCCCGATGATGACGACAGGTGCTGTGAAGCCACCATCGCCTTGTTGTTATTGGTTCCGCGGGGAGAGGAGAAGCACGAGAGGTGTGTTGACAACGGTGAGCAGCGACGACTACAACGACAACGACAACAACAACAACAACAACAACAACAACAACAACAACAACAACAACAACAACAACAACAACAACAACAACAACAACAACAACAACAACAACAACAACAACAGAAGAACGATAAAAATAGCCACGTGATTGCTAGGGACCCCACGTGCTGTGCTGCCGTGATCGGCGGAAGAGCTGCCAAGCCAGCAGAAGCACCAACAGTCACAGCCTGCATGTTGTGGCAAACGAACGACATTTTTTTTTCCTGTCTATTTGCTGCTGCTGTTACAGCTAGCTCACGATTCGAGGACCGACGATTGCTTGAGCTACTCCCACACCCCTGTACAACGCGAGACTGAGTTGAACGACACCCGCAACCGCAGCGGGACGATAAACGCCCTCCCCACAATGCCTTGCATCCACAGAAGTAGACAACACCACGCAGTAAACA